TTCTCAAGTTCGACAAGTTTGAAAAGGGTCAAAAAGGTATTTTTTCAACTTGTTTCAAATTGACCAATTTGTTTTTCAAAATCATCTAGAAGTTCTCAAAACTCCAAATCTCACTATAAATTTGACCTTCAATGACATTCTCAAGGTCAGAAAAATATTTGACCTTCTCAAGGTCAAAAAGGTATTTTTTAACTTGCTTCAAATTGATCAATTCTTTTTTTCAAAATCATCTACAAGTTCTCAGAAGTTCAAATCTGACTTAAGATTTGAGATATTCACCTTCAATGACCTTGCCAGGGTCAAAAAGGGTATTTTTCAACTTGCTTTAATTGACCAATTTTTATTTCATCTACAAGTTCTCGGTAATTAAAATCTGACTTAAGATTGAACTCATAATATTGTGAGAAACTACGTGGTGACATTTAGTCATGTTAATGCCTTGTTTTCGTCTCCCTCCCTCTGAATTTTCGGGATCGCCCAAGGTATTGCTTAAGCATGGAAAATGTGTGGGCAGGGGGATTGGGTCGACCCTGTAGTGGGTGTGAGGGGTGGCCCACTCTCCCTAGAAAATTTTCCAATATTAAGATGCTATTTGGTGCGTTGTGGGCACTTTCAAAGTGTGTGAGTCAATGAAAAAAAAAATTCTAAAAAAAATCCTATTTTTTTTTGGGGGGGGGGGTTGCACCCATCGCACCGCAATCAAAATGCTTAGACACTCCTACTAATCATGTGATAAAGTATCTGACGTCGTATCATATGCAAACTACATTTCATGCCCATCATTTCTCTGCAATTAGATATTGGCTCATCTCTTCATGTCACGCAAAGCTTTTTGAATCATTTGTGGATTCTGGCAGAGAGGGGCAGCCTCATTGGTTATTCTCTGTCGTTGTGTACAATGTCTAAAACTTGGTACAGAGCAGATTTTTGAAATTGATAGCCAATACTCATAACATCAAAAAGAGTTGTAGATACTAGTACTCATAAAATATAGAGTATATATTGAGAATAGACATCACTTTATCATCGCAAGCCCAGGTGAAGCCTTTACAAAATAAGACGTTACGCCGTTAGCGTATTACATGTTCTCCTTTATTATTCATTGCTTTAACTAAATAAAACTAAATATTCGAGTTAAAATAACAAATAATACATTTAACAATCATTAATATTTTCCCGACTGTGTATATCAGTTGAATGTGACAAGGGACTCTGTGAAAGAGTCTAGAATGACGGTGCGACAACGAGAGTGCGGGGCCGAAAAGCGCGACAAAAAAGAAAACAGGTAGTGTTTGAAATGTCTACTTCCTGGTGATCCTAATTCTGTATATCGTGACACAACCTTTTTGAACATAGAATTGTATTGAAGCGCATATTAATCTGAACAAAACTTGACATTTTAAAGAAGATTCCACGAATATTAAAACTTTTGCAATAACTTTGAGGAGCATTGGGCGTATTTATCGCGTAAATCTTCGCAATTGTGTCGGTAAAATGGACAATTACAATGTAACGCCGTGATGTACTCGTTCCCTTCAGTCACTCGTGAATATATCATATACTCACTTGAGTATAAACACGATATACGGAATCAACCATTATATGATCTTATTATCCCACCCTAAGCTTTAATCAATAAAAGTTAAATCTAAATTTAGCAGTTGTATATCAAGTCGAGGAGTTGTATACCCTGCCCAGGAGTTGTATACGCTATCAAGGAGTTGTACACTCCCCTCCATAAGTTTGGCAACCTCTTTTCTCCATTGAACTACGTGTTAAAGCCTCTTTACGTTTGAATTTTTATTTACTTAACCGGCAAAGAAATAACTTATGATATTGATGGAAACGTACCTTGACTTTATTTCCAATACCTCCAAATTATGTCAATTTTTTTCCTCATTTACAATAGGTCGAAAATTGATGATAAATTTGATGAATTTTTGAAAATCGTCATTCTCATGTAATCCAATGGGAAATGGAGGGTTCGGGGCAAATCAGAAATCAGGATATCTTTTCATTAAAAGATTCAGCAAAAAATATTTTTATATAGAAAATTGAATTGTCTAACTTTTTTGAACACTAAGTGTTTAGTTTATTTGATGAATATTAAAGTTACAGCGCTTCAAAGTCATTTTTGAAAATTATTTTTCGCCTTCTGTGTTATTTCAATGGGAGAGGTTTTTTGAAAAAAAAATTTGACTTTAAAGCCCTATAACTTTGTTGAACCTGAAGAAACATATCAATTTTTTGTTAAATAAAGCTAGCAAATTCAATTACCTGCCTAACTCGTATTTTTTGCAAGGACTCGGATGGATGGATATTCTGTCATATGACTTGCGGCAAACCTACCATTTCCCATTGGTTAACATGAGAATGTCGATTTTCAAAAATTCATCAAATTCATCATCAATTTTCGACCTATTGTAATTGAGGAAAAAAATTGAGAAAATTTGGAGGTATTGGAATTAAATTCAAATTACGTTTCCATCAATAGTATAAGTATTTTCATCGCAGGTTAAGTAAATAAAAATTCAAAGGTAAAGAGGCTTTAACACGTAGTTCAATGGGGGAAAAAGGTTGCCAAACTTATGGAGGGGAGTGTATATCGTTCTCAAGAGTTGTATACGATGAGTATTGGTTTTATATTGCAGTTATACAATGCTATTATACAATCATATAAAGCACTTGGGGTGGGATAATATCAGTTATCACACGTTTCAGCATGTGATACAGGAAATATTCCACGAAATGTAACACTGTATCATCCACGAAAGCGAAGCTTGAGTGGTGATACATTATTACCCGAGTGGAATATTTCCTGTATCACATAAGCTGAGACGTGTGATAACAATTTTATCACATGTCTAGGAATTTCACCCTTGGTATACGCAGCTAACGAAAATTGACCGGTACGGGTCAAAAGCTGGACCGGTACGGGTTAACGGTTTTATTTGAATTTAAAACAGCCATAACTTGCTCAATATTAACTTCCTCGTGTCTAATTTGAAATATATGATGCCTCCCGATGCTTTTAAGTACCCCAATTTTTTACAGATTTTTAAACGGACCAAAACTCTCTAAATGCGCATTTATGCTCTTATCTCTCGAGAACGACTGTCTCATTTTCACGATAACTTTCATTTAGTACTTCTAACATATACGATCTATTTTTCCCCATCAAGGTATGATGTAAATGACATGCTATTTACACCTTGTGAGTTTCCATGACGCATTTTGATTTTATAAAAAATGCCAAACTTTGTGACAAAGAATTTCCTCCTGCTTGCAGCGAGAAGACGGACCGGTTCGGGGCAATAACTTGCAGCGAGAAGACGGACCGGTTCGGGGCAATAGCTATAGAAATTCTTTGTCACAAAGTTTGGCATTTTTTATAAAATCAAACGCGCGTCATTTAAACTCACAAGATGTAAATAGCATGTCATTTACATCATACCTTGATGGGGAAAAATAGATCGTATATGTTAGAAGTACTAAATAAAATTTATCGTGAAAATGAGACAGTCGTTCTCGAGAGAAAAGAGCATAAATGCGCATTCAGAGAGTTTTGGTCCGTTTAAAAATCTGTAAAAAATTGGGTTACTTAAAAGCATCGGGAGGCATCATATATTTCAAATTAGACACGAGGAAGTCAATATTGAGCAAGTTATGGCTGTTTTAAATTCAAATAAAACCGTTAACCCGTACCGGTCCAGCTTTTGACCCGTATCGGTCAATTTTCGTTAGCTGCGTATACCAAGGGTGAATTTTGAAGCATTTTGATTTGGTCAGTTCAGTTATGATTGTGTTCAGTACCCTGTACTCCTGGTAACTATTATAATTTTTGATTTCGCTTTGAAACAATATGACGTCATACCGTTGTATTCGTACTTGTTTGTGAATCAGTATGACGTCATATTGTTTTCCTTAGCTGGAAGTGATATAATCAGTGACGTCACATCGCTGCTATTGACTCCGTAGTGAAACAGCCCGTCGTATCACATGAAAATTAGTCACGTGTCGTGTGATACGTAATATACATGTACATCATCACAATTGACCAATCAAAATGCTTAGACACTCCTAATCATGTGATAAAGTATCTGACGTCGTATCACATGCAAACTACATTTCATGCCCATCATTTCTCTGCAATTAGATACTGGCTCATCTCTTCATGTCACGCAGAGCTTTTTGAATCATTTGTGGATTCTGGCAGAGAGGGGCAGCCTCATTGGTTATTCTCTGTCGTTGTGTACAATGTCTAAAACTTGGTACAGAGCAGATTTTTGAAATTGATAGACAATACTCATAACATCAAAAATAGTTGTAGATACTAGTACTCATAAAATATAGAGTATACATTGAGATAGACATCACTTTATCATCGCAAGCCCAGGTGAAGCCTTTACAAAATAAGACGTAACGCCGTTAGCGTATTGCATGTTCTCCTTTATTATTCATTGCTTTAACTAAATAAAACTAAATATTCGAGTTAAAATAACAAATAATACATTTAACAATCATTAATATTTTCCCGCCTGTGTATATCAGTTGAATGTGACAAGGGACTCTGTGAAAGAGTCTAGAATGACGGTGCGACAACGATAGCGCGGGGCCGAAAAGTGCGACAAAAAAGAAAACAGGTAGTGTTTGAAATGTCTACTTCCTGGTGATCCTAATTCTGTATATCGTGATACAACCTTTTTGAACATAGCATTGTATTGAAGCGCACATTAATCTGAACAAAACTTGAAATTTTAAAGAAGATTCCACGAATATTAAAACTTTTGCAATAACTTTGAGGAGCATTGGGCGTATTTATCGCGTAAATCTTCGCAATTTTGTCGGTAAAATGGACAATTACAATGTTACGCCGTGATGTACAGTATCTGACGTCGTATCACATGCAAACTACATTTCATGCCCATCATTTCTCTGCAATTAGATATTGGCTCATCTCTTCATGTCACGCAAAGTTTTTTGAATCATTTGTGGATTCTGGCAGAGAGGGGCAGCCTCATTGGTTATTCTCTGTCGTTGTGTACAATGTCTAAAACTTGGTACAGAGCAGATTTTTGAACCATTGACCACAAAGAGTGATTATGCGGTGTTCCATGGTCACATATGAATAAATGACATATCATTGGAAAGAAGAGACATATGGCTTAATGATTAAATTCATGAAATTGATATAGGTATCATTGGATTTGGGATTTTTCAATGTTTTAGTTTATCGCGTTTTTTAGACACACTGTATACAGCATATAATTTGTGTTTTTAAAATTGATGTTATCGCCTCCGTTGATTATACTATAAATAAAGATGATCTCGGATAACAGATATATATCCGAGCATATTGCGAGTGAAATAACAAAATGTGATGAATATTAGGCATGCAAAGTTTCAGGCAAGACTTCTTTGAGATTCTACCATTTTTGCGTACATTCTATTTTTCTTAGTTTGCTTATATATGCCATATATCTCCTGAATAAGAGGTACACTGATAATAAAGGCCGCGGCGATAAACGCCCATATTTGGGAAAACACTGTCCAGTGGTAAAATTGGTCTTCCTTAAGAACTTTCAAACCCGTCATTACTGCTGGCCATATTATGATAAGTCCGACACTCATGATTATTCCGAAAATGATAGCTGTAAGGCGAGCCTTCTTGAAAATTCTCTCCATGTCTAACTGTGTAGGTCGCTTGTTGCTGTTTCTATTTCCAAAATCAGTCTCATATTTCTTCGCCCATGGATGAAGTGGATTTTCGATATTTCTTGTCTTTTCCCATTCGTTATGTTTCTTATGCTTCTTCCTATCTATGGTGCATAATGACACGAATACACAGACAATGCCACCGACACCAATGGCAACGCAGTTTCCAACTAACATAGCAACGTCTTGGTAGGTGTTTTTGAGGAAGTCATAGAGACCGCCGGGATAAGTCGAAGCCGTTGCTAGCCATGAAACAATCCCAGCGATACAGCCGAGGACTGCCCCTGAAAAAGAAGCTGATTTTAACATATTTAACATGACGCTGATTTTAACATTTTTAACATGACGTTCAAAGGTAGTAGCGCGTTCTCCATTATGATCTCCTCATGAAAAAATATTCATCTGATTTTTCATTATTTTATTATTACATTTATATCACTGGTGATCCGCTCGATTACGCTGGTTACCGAAACGGTTCGTTTTGGTAACAAAATGTCGGAACGTCGAAGGTATGATTTTTCTTTTTTCCTTATTTCACGCGTTGTAGGCAGAATCCCAACGACGTTTTTTCTCACAAAATGTGTATCAGCATCATATGCTTTAGAAAATGTACATGTTTGCGAAAAAATAACAGAATCGTCGATTTAATTCCTCACTTAAGTTACATAAACGGTTTGGGTTAAAACTAAAAGTGCAAATCTTAACTGTTTTTCTTAAACATAGTAATGATACTGATACACGTTTGTGCTAAAAATGTCGTGGGAATTCTGCCTACAACTTGTGAAATAAGAAAAAAAAGAAAAATCGTACCTTCGATGTTCCGACATTTTGTTACCAAAACGAACCGTTTTGGTAACCAGCGTAATCGAGTGGATCACCAGTGTATATGTAGACTAGTATCTTGTTGGCCTATATTCAGCACTGTATTGGTGAATGGACCACTTATTAGAGTCACAATTCAATCATGAAGTGAAGAGGCATAGATTTTAAACCAGGAAGTATTTTCATATTTGCACATATGATGTGATATACCATTTGTGTCATATTGTGAAATTATTTAATTTGCAATCGATTTAGATCATAGTGTATTTAAGGTATTTTTGTAAAAATCAATAGAAACCAATGGCCTCCATTGGAATCCGATGGTATCCACATGTTAAGTCAATGGAGCACATCCAATGTCAAGTCAATACACCCTTGCTAAATTGATATCCCAATCACATTTGTCGTACGGAGGCCGTGCGTCGACCGCAGATCAATTAAATCAGTGTATTTCTGCGGCGAGCGTAGGAAAACTACGCTCGCCCCTTGCGGCCTCCGTGCGGCGTATCCACTTTTTTACAGGCCGCAGGGTCGCCGTAGAAATTATAACTCGGAGTTATAATATTTGTTCATTTCTGAGGTCCCCGTAGAAATCAACTGGCTCAACAAGATTGAATCATAATATTTGTCAATGTTCCACGATCACTTTTCATTTGATATTACATCCTAGCACTATGAATAACATTTATAAATTGTCCTGATGTAAATAAAATGAAAAAAAGTATTATTTATCAACAGAAATTTAAAATTCACCGTGCGGCTGCCGTGGGAAATGTGACTGCAAAAGTATGAGAGCGCAGAAATTCCAGGGCGAGCGTAGAAATGTTACTGGTCGCAGAAATGATAGACCTCAAGGTCGCCGTAGGAAATGTGACTGGGGTGTAAATTACCTCAACCTCAGCCCATGTGTGACCAAATGCTTAAACATTTTCCAAAGTATTATGTGACATTATATTCTTTATGTTACACCTAAAAATGATTCATTTTGTTCATGGGGAAATCACAATGGAGAGTGCACTAAACCCTTTGACGATTTTGGCACAAATCACTTGAAATAAGCTCCATAAGATATAAAACTGCAAGATTTCAAGTTGGCCAATGAGGGTCACTCGAACAATGCTTGAATGAAATGATACAGAGGTACTCGTGTGATAGTTTGTTTATTGTAATCTGTTCTTACAGCCAAAAATATTTCAAAATCATGCAGTTTTCACCATTCTGAGAACGTTCTTTTAGTAATTTTGGCCATTTTAGAACCAAAATTGTCACAAGTGACCCCCCTGGAATTTTTCAAAAAGCGAACCCCCCCCCCCTTGGCAAATCCTGGCTACGGGCCTGGAAAGTATTTACTGTCGATCCCAAAATAAACTCAATGGGAGAATTTTGGACCATGAAAAATGATCACATTGAAAGATGTTCGGATTAGGTATATGTTTGAATCAATAAGTTTTACTCTAAGCCTATTCTTAAAGTGTGTCAAACTAGAAAGGTAGGGTTTGTGAGGAGTGAGTCGCATGAACCTAATAATAACGTTTATCAGGATTCATGAAGACTCCTGGACATGAAAATACATTACTTATTACAATTCAACGCAAAACGAGTGGACATAAAGTAGCCATCAGTTTTCTGTAGTTTGTGTTCTTCTGAAACTGTAACAAAATTGTACTAGTCGCGCGTAATTAACTCCGATTCGTGAACTTAATCCGATTATTTCAATGCGCCGAAATAGCTTATTTTCCTCGATGTATACACGTAAACCTACTCACTTTCCGTGGTATTGATCGATCTGGACAAATAATTAATAGCTGTTTTCACTCATATATGCTCACTGTAGCCGACGGCCCTTTTCATTTCTTTGCAGTTGATATTTATATAACCCTTCTATCACACCGAACTAGTTTTCACTACGTTCTCGAAAACGGGCTTCAACTGTGTACGAACGAACTGGACATAGCTAGAACCGTTTGGGGTCTATTTACAAACTTCATTGAACGTACTCGAACTGGTAGGTCCCCTTGAACTTAGAACATGCTCAAAATGTTCTCGTGGTCCATACGTTCTACAATTAGAACGAGTGACAACGTACTAACGACGAGCTGGACGTACTACGAACGGAACCGTCGTACTTCATTCCTACTAGGGACGTTTTAACAACGAGTTGAACTGTCTGAGGACGAACTGAGAACGAGGTAGAACTAATTGCAAACGGGTTTAAACTGATTAAGAACGTATTTAATACTGCTTAAGAACGAGTTAGCAAAAATATAGCTATCACACCAAATAAGTTGCCACTGCGTTCTTCAAAACTGGTTATAAACTGTGTGCGAACGGAATTAACGTAGCTGCAACTTTCTAAGGTCTATTTACGAACTTCATGAACGTTCTCAGAAGGGAAGGTGATTTTAGAATTTTGAATCGATTCAAAATTCGATGGCGACCATACCGTTCTGTAATCAGGTCATCATGACCTTCTAGACTAAGGAACGCGTTATACGACGTTGCACACCGACCTGGTGCGACCTGAACGAACTGCGAATGAGATGGACGTATTGAAGACTGTTTATGAACGAAGTAGCTAATTATTTTAGACATATTTCCCGACCACAGCCAGATTGAGCCCGTTTTACGACTTTTTCGTAGGACTGGCAAGAACGGGTAAGAACTAGTTTGGTGTGATAGAGGGGTAAGCAATGCAACAACGTTTGAAATATTTTTCATATATTGTAATGTTTCCCTCTCCTAATATTCATATTGAATCTTAAATATTATGCTAAACATTTTATTGCACATGTACTATCTGTACAGGATTGCCTTGTTATACTTCTCGAAACATTTGAATGAGTTTTAATATTTTTTAGTTCATCAATTACGTTTCATTGATCGGACATGTACATTTATTTCCAACTAGATGACTTTAAAATAGGATTAATCAATTAAGATACGTAACATTGCGTTATTCAAGCAAATAATCGTAACAACTACATTATTTTTTAGCAGTTCTGACACCTAAGCAGAATAGCCTCGTGGCGTAGGCAGACTATTTTTGTGGTCGAACGTAGTGGGATACGGAGGTCCCGCGTTCGAGCCCCAGGTACGGAGTTTTTGATCATTGCACTACAGGACACCCGGTCCGAAGGTCCAACCGTTTACCGGTTCTCTGTCTGCTCTTGCCGGGGACAGATTGTCAGACTGTGGTTGGTTCCTCCATTGACGTGCTTAAGTAGACTCCGGGAGTCATACAGTATGGTAGCGGGCCCCCACCAATGGCAGTAGTGGAACGACACGAATCGGTCCCAGTATGGTTGCTTTGTAACTGAAGAGACTCCAGGAAATCATGCCATTCGCAGTGACCCAGAAAAGACTTTTGCTTCTTGATTTAACAAACGTATATTTTATTTCGTTATATCAATTAAAATCTGACCAATGACACTTATCATTTAGCAATGTAGTTCCGACGTACTACTTATTTTCCCAGAAGAATGGGCCGAGTGGTCAAATTCTTCATCTTGTTTTCAACCGGCCCTCTATACAGCGTCTCAAAAAAATGTTACACTTACAAAAAGTTCAATATCTTTCATGATTTTGACTTTTCCCCTAAAATATACATAGATACTAAAAGACCAGTCTTTCTCGAATAAATCCACACCATCAGATTCAAAATCCGTCCATGATTGGCTGCACAGGACGGATTTTATAGACACATGTGAAATCTGATTTGCGCCAACTTCTCAGTGGTTGGACATGTGGTGATCAATTCTTTTTTGGTGTGAATGCTGTGGACAGTGATATCTTGATATGATCAATGATCCAGTTGTTTCTTTCCAGGATAGAAATACAACATTTCATTGTCAAAAGTTCAATTTTGTTACGTATGATGGCAACAGGATGGTGCAAAGGCCTGTGGCAGATCATTTGCTAGACCTCTTTGGAAATCAGAAAGTAGCATTGAATTACCCAATTGATTGGCCCCCAGGGCCATCCAACTTTACACCCTTGATTTTTTAAAGGGCCTCTGAAAGTGCTTTACAGCATCTCAAACTAATCTAAATGAACTTCTACAAAAATAATTGATGGAATCAGTGTGATATTAAATTGCATGTGCGTATAGGCAAGGGTACCTCAGATCCTAAGATTTGCTTTCACATTCAACATGTTGAGGGGACCACATGTTTACGTGGATAGACCCAATGACCATATGTAAGACACATAGGAAAATTACAGAATGACTCAGTTAAAGGTCAAGCTTCTGCTCAGAAGAAAGTTAAATGTTCAAGAAACTGTTCCTCTTTTGTCATTTGGTCTATCCAATCACTCAGAAAATGGCGCAAGTCAGATTTTACTATGGAGACACTAACAGCTGTCATGTGGAGCCAATCAAGGACAGATTTTGAATCTGATGGTGTCTAATTATTGGGGAAAGATTTGTCTTTCGGTATCCAAAGTACATTATAGGGAAAAGTCAAAATTATGAAAGATATTGAACTTTTTGTAAGTGTAACATTTTTTTGAGACACTCTGTAGTTAAGTAAATGGCAAACGCGCAAAGATGGAAATTCACAGGATTCTAAATATTCAGACGATATTACACGATAATGATTTTTATTGGACAAATGAATGAATGTGACATCTATAATCGATCAAAAAATTTTACGTTCCATATACACATTTACACTTTAAACTATATCGACATAAATGCAATTGTCGCGGCATCTATGAAAAGATATTCTAAACACTCAAAATCGTTGCTTTTAATATCACACTCTTTGTGAATACCAGAGAAATGTGCATTTTAAATGTTTGTCAAATGCAGCCAAAAACGGAGATCACTCGTTCATTTTTACTCTATATTCTTACGAATAGATTTCAGCCAGTCAGAACATAGCGCGTTGAGTTTTTGTAACAGTCAGTTCAGGAGTCCGGATGAGGGTGAAACGTCCGGGTGAAACGTTGTTGGTCGATTCAATTCTTGCATTTTTGTAAACGGGTTTAAACTATAGGGTGTCCCGAAAGTATGGGACCCCCACGCAGGCATACCGATATCTCTATAGTATGTGTCATATATCATTTTGAAGCTTATCCAAAATTAAAAGAAGATTAAGGCATTTCACAATTAAGGATTTGGCCAAAATTAAACTTCAGTTTTACAACAAATTAATAGTGTTTTCCCTTGTGAGTTGAAACATGATACTTGGCAAATCAATGTAACTTTGGATAAGCTTTAAAATGAGATATGACACATACTACGTTGACATTGGTATATGTCTGGCTAGACGGGATGGGGCGTCCCATACTTTCTGGACTTCCTGTATATGCAAACGGGATGGGGATTTTTATGATATTTTTATTTCACATTATTAAGACCCACCTCGACCGAGCTACATCCCAATTATAGCCAATTGTTATTGCGTGCAAAAACTCTCAAAACAAACGCATATACACCGTAGCTTTAAGTTTAGTCATTTTGTAAATAAACCTACCTGAAATCATTCCTTGGGCTGTAACTCTGTCCCACAAAACACTTAAACTTATAGGAATGACGGAACTTCCTATAAGGACTCCCGTGAACAGGTACACCCAACCCAAGTTGAGCCCAGCAGCATTGGCTAACAACACCAACGGGATGGTAAACAGAGTAACCCAAAGTATACACCAATTTTTGTAGTTTTTCAAGTTATCCTGGTATTGTTGGAATAGGCCGTGTGTTTTACAAGTGTAAGGATGGGGTACACCAAAACGAGACTTCTTCTTACGCATGGCTCGACAATCGAGGCATTCTACACACTCGTCAATTGGCTTGCATCGACATACAGGATCTTCCCCCGGGGATGCAATTGCGGCTGGTTGTTCATTATGTTTAATTCGTTCACCACAAAATAGACAAGTGCCATCAACGTGGTCTTTCCTTAAATAAAAATTCTTTGTTACAGTTGTTAAACTACTACTGCCTATGAATCATTTCATGTAGATGAGTCATAAAGTTGAAGGTTGAGGTTTTTACTTAGGTTTGAGCATTTTGGATCAACTAGCTCTTTTATAAGGCTAGTCACATGATATAAACCCGAGGGAGGGGGTACTTCCTGCCATATAATGGAGAGGTTAAGCTTTGCATATATAATCGAAACTGAACCTGTACGTATCACTCGACCATATACAAATTCATGTAACCTTCTTATATAAATAGCCGTTCAAATCCAGTGTTTGTTTAGACTACACCATAGCGTGTAATGATTCTATAGTATGTCATTGATGCAGTTTTATAGCTGGTTTTCTAATACATATTATAAACGAGCTCGTTTCGTAAGATTTTTGGCGCTAAATCATGCATGACATACATCATCGTGTTCAGCAAGAATTCAACTGTGCACATAAATCAAAATTGACAGCATAGTGTTCAATAGACACGAGTAAAATGGTTCCCGTTGACCCAACGTCAAATTTCAAATCTCCCGTTCTAAACCCGAAACTCTGAAGCTGAAAGAGTATCTGAAGTAGACTTAGCGCGCATACAACTATGAGCGCTCGATACATTCCTTTGTTAATTTTTGTACTCTGCGTTCACGGTTACGTTGTGAAAAACATCGTTAGCTTAACCTCTCCATTGGCTATTTGGGACGTGCCGCTAGGGTGGGTCACTTTTTACCCGAAAAATCCATAGATATGGGTCCAATTTTGAAGAAAAACCTAGATTTGGGTCCCATTTGGATGAAAAAATCCCTAAAACTGGGTCTACTTTTTGTATTGTTTTTTGAAAAATAATTACCGGAAGTGGGTCTTGTTTAAAAAAACACCTCAAAGTGGGTCTATTTTTGAGAGAAAAACCTAGATATGGGTCCATTTCTAGAGAAAAAATCCCTAGATGTGGGTAGATATTTTGAATCTCAGCGGCATGCCCCTGTACAAAAACCTAACTGACCAGTGTCCCCCGGGATATAAACGATACATGTAGCTACCACCACTTATACATACTTTTTTCATTGATGGTTATAGTTCATGAATGATCAAATTAAAAAAAACACCTCGCGACATAATTGGCATACAAACTAAAAGGATAAAACGACCTTGTTGAATAGAACATTGGTCTGATGTTCGACTTAATTGCCTGGTTGCAGTCAACACATTACTGTTTTTACTTTAATATTAAACATACAAAAAAATTAATAAACACAGAATAATAAAAGATAAGTAATCTGCTGTACTATATTTGAAAATGCGTCCTTTACATACGGTGTATATAAAAGTTGTATACCTGAATTGATTGACGTATATTTGGTATGAAGTATATCCCATTCCTGAATGGATCGACTTATATTAGATATATGTTGTATATCCGGATGAATTGACATATGTTTGGTATAAAGTATACCCCATACCTAAATGGGTCGACGTATATTTCTTGTGATATGTCGTATACCTGTGTGGCTTTATATATGCTTGATATTTGTCGTACACCTCAATGAAGTGATGTATGTTTGATATTTGTCGTATACCTGAATGAAGTGATGTATGTTTGATATTTGTCGTATACCTAAATGAAGTGATGTATGTTTGATATTTGTCGTATACCTAAATGAAGTGATGTATGTTTGATATTTGTCGTATACCTAAATGAAGTGATGTATGTTTGATATTTGTTGTACACCTTAATGAAGTGACGTGTTTTTGTTATATGTTGTATATCTGAATGAATTGACATAGGTTTGGTATAAAGTATACCCCATACCTAAATGGGTCGACGTATATTTCTTGTGATATGTCGTATACCTGTGTGGCTTTATATATGTTTGATATTTGTCGTACACCTCAATGAAGTGATGTATGTTTGATATTTGTCGTATACCTGAATGAAGTGATGTATGTTTGATATTTGTCGTATACCTAAATGAAGTGACGTGTTTTTGATATATGTTGTATATCTGAATGAATTGACATAGGTTTGGTATAAAGTATACCCCATACCTAAATCGGGCGACGTATGTTTCTTGATATGTCGTATACCTGTGTGGATTGATATTTGTCGTATACCTGAATGATGTAATGTATATATTTTATATTTGTCCTCTACCTGAATGAAATGACAATGTGCAATCAATAAGAAATGGGTTCGTTTAATAGAACAACAGTTTAATAGAATCCAAATCAGAAAAGCCAGATTGTGAGCAATTTGTTCAAACGAATTTGTTTGATTTTATAAGGTTTTGTTCAATTATGACATTAGAAATAATGTTAAAGAATTTGTATTTTAAAGTTTTAATGAAGCCATGTGGACATGTGGCTTTTTTAAAAATTCAGAAGTCAAATGGAATATAAGATATGCAATATTGAAGTAGAAAGTCATAAACAATTATTTGTCAATTGCATGAATGCAAAAAATATGTAAATACCCAAAGTTTAAAGTTTTCTGAACAAGAACTTTCATTTTATAACAACGAAGGAGAACAAATGCTATACTTGTAGAAATCGACTAGCGTTTAAACACAAGTTTGAAATTTGGAAACTAAGAAATTTCAAAATCTATAACCAATAAGTTCTGTAACCTGTTAGAATCATTGTATATTATGTTAAAATTGTATAAATATTAAAAGTGAATAAAGTTTATCAATAAAAAAATAAGTGACGCATATTTAATATATGTCGATTGCCTGAATGGATCGACGCATATTTAATATCTGCCGTATACCTGAATGGAGTCATGTATGTTTGATAAATGTCGTATACCTGAATGGATTAACATATGTCTGGTATATGTCGTATACGATGACAGAAGCAACGGCGATGACCTCCGCAGATCCTGTCGACATGACGGCCATAAGAATAAGCAACAACATAATATATTCTCCAGTTTTCCCCAACACCACTTGGGCGACAACTGGGGAAACTAATCCTAAAAATTGAAGCATCTAGCACTAGGTGTTACGCGGTAAACACGATACAAATATACAGGGTGTCAAATAAGTCCCGTCCCCCTGGTACATCTAAAACCTTAAGAGATGGTACCTAGTGTGATATACCATTGGAAAGATCCCCCAAAGTTACGTTAACTCACCAACTCTGAAGTATTTTGGATGAAATTCACCTATATTTTCCTGATGTCCTTTATAGTAAGTGTACCCTCCTTTAGCAGCTTTTATTGCGTCAAAATGATAAGGATATGACCTCAGAAATATGTCAAAAAGTTAATCTTTTTCACATTAGACTTGTTACAAAAAGGTTTTCACAATTTTTCCTAGCACCTCTATTTTCTACACATCTAACCCTATCCAGAGATTGGTTAAATTCATTGCCATATACATAATAGTCATCTTTAGGTCCTTTCTTATACCTGATTCTTAAAATACTGCCAAATACGCCAAATTGCCATGTTTCTAGGCTTATGGTCACCTCAATTGATACAATGTAAACATTTGTGAGACTGATTGACATATGTCAGATTAATGCCAATCAACGTAACTTTGGAAGACCTTTCCAATGATATATCACACTTGGTAAAATATATCTTGGTTTAGGCTGTAGAGGGGGGGGGGACTTGAGACCCTGTATGTCATATTTCGCAACGAATATGGCATATGTTATACTCACAAGGGAGTTTAAGCTTGCATAAGAAATAGAAACGCCAACCTATACGTTTGACCAATCGTCCATACAAATGCATTGCTTAAATATTTTCCGTTCACGTTTAGGTTGTGAAAAAACATTGCAAGCTTAACTCCTATAAGCTTATTTATCAGCCAGATTGTGTTTGTTATAAAACGTCCCTTCATTTGTTATGTTGATTGCAATGCACATTTCATCTAGATTTTTAATGACAAGTGTACAAGTTCAAGTGAACTTATAGGTTAGCATCATTAAAATAATACACTCCTTGCATAAGCTTGGAGACTGGATAAAAATAAGAGTATACTCATATACTGTATAAGTGGTATCTAATTCATGTGGTTAATTTTCCGAATGGTTAAATTTTGTCATTTTCCTAATTTTAACTTTCCCAATGACTAGAAACTTCCTATTGGATAAAGATAATTTTCCAGCATTTAATTAACCGAACCTTTGTTGACATCGTCTGCAGACAGCAGTGATACTCCATTCTGTTCCCCCAAGGCGAGGTACGACAGTCCCATGGTTGTAGCTAAGGTGAACGGGATGGCAAACCACGTGAGACCCCCCGCTATGAATCCCCAGACACCATGTACAGGTTTTGCGGCTACACTGCTCTGCCAGTAGCTCTGATCGCAGAACACAGTGCCAAAGTTACCGATAATGTTAATGACACCAAACATGAGTCCACCCGTAGAAAGGAATGTAAGGTAACTTTGATCGCTGTTTCCCTTTGGTCCAACTGTAGCATTCAAATACTTGTATACATTTTCAGCGCTGCCTAATGTATTGGTCTCACGTTGTGTCGGGTTATAGAACACTTCAACCACAAGAGTGATTAACATAACGAATACCAAGCTTGTATTGAAATAGGAAACGTAGAATGTAGCTCCCAATCCGCCAATAAGAGTGTATGACCCAATGACGGCGGCCAAGATAATGCAGGCGAGTTCCAATGAGAGGTCTTGAACGAGACTGGTGATGACTGCCGTGCCTGCTAACAGTAAGGACATCGACACGACAATGTTGGTAAATCCAGCAAACACACAAAATACAATATGGGCTGGTTTACCAAATCGTGCTCGAATAACCTACAACAAAAAACACACCATTGATTTTATATTTGGTGATATCGCCCTCCATCATCTGGGATTCAATTTATGTAATTTCTAAAGTGAGGATTTCTTATCTTAAAAATAATAGAATGTAAGAGGAAATATATAGCAGATAAGAGTATACAAAATAGAAAATGTACAAATTTTAGGGGATATTTATCTAGACGTTATTATCACAATACTAATGACATTGCTCACTT